ATGTATAAGGTATAGGGTGGTATATAGCAATACAGTATATAAATTAATGTTGGGTTTATCTATGGCAGTATATAGTACGGTGTATGCTCGTGTGATGTAAGAGAATAAAGTTTAGATGGAAGCATATTATATAATTTTTACGACGTAGAATTGTAATGTATTACTTGCTGTTAGTAACTCAGCTTATTGTAGAGTATAGTAAGTATACTGATGGTGCTATGCAGTTTATACTTTAGTTTTTTATGTAGTTTATACTTTAGTTTTCTACGTTGTTTAGTAACTGCAGCTACATACTATTAACATTCTTTTCCTTTGTTAATGCTACTGCACCCCCCCTTGGTGCTGTTGATCCTGCATAATGCATGGGCATAATATGACTATGAAACCCCCCCCACCCACCTCCTACGCATTTCCCATGAATATGCTAAATTCCTCTTCATATGCACATTCTTTTTGTTAAGGCGCTCTTGCACCTCCAACGCAGCGTATATATAAGCTCCTAGCTTGGTAGTGTCTCATTCTTCACCTGAGGACGGCTGCTTGCGTTGTAGCCGAAACGTCGTGAGAATTATTTTATTTTATTATGTTTTATTTTTATTATTTTATTGCTTCCCTTCTACGTGACTTTACCGAAAGAACCAAGAAGATGGATCCCTGCAGTCACGAAAGCTTTAAAATCGAAATATAATTTTTTTGGCACGTTTTGAAACGTCTCGATGCCGTATGGACCTGAAAACTCAATTTCCCCTATACAAGAATACGGAATAAACCACGTGGGTTGACACGGTATGGTGTATTGAGGAGTGCCCTGTGTAAGTTGTGAAACGTGAGTCACAAAACTTTGCCAAATTAAGTTAACGACTTCAGCACCCACCGAGAGAGTAAAACCCGCTCGGACTTTTACAATTCCGCGGCAAGGTTGCAGTGACATTTCACCAGGCGATTTCAGCAGCAGCAGCAACAACAACAACCAGTTTGGTTTAACACCTAGTAGGCTTTCGATACCATTATCATCCATAATACACGTTTTTGGGGTTAGATTGTGTATATATAAATGCGTTGTTAAACCCCCCACCGCCCAGCACAGCCAGTTTGTCACTTAAACAGAACATGCCAATTCGTTACTAGTACAGTACACTCGGATAATACATGCCTTGATTTTTATACTTACTCGCCTATGGCCTTGTCCCACCAGTGTATGCCATGGTGGCGAGATGTTAACTCGCTCGCCCGGGATGCAATAAATCGTGGTTTCAAACCCGACCGTGACGCCTGCTGCTGTATATTTGCAGTTTGCGGTGTCTCTCATCCTCATGGTTGTGTGCATTCTTCTCCGGGCCCTCCGGTTTTGCCCTCCACATTTAGAATCAACATCACGCGTTTAGAGTATTTGGCTGCCATAAATAGCCACACGATGATGATGATGATAATAATCCCACTTCAGGTGAGATGTCATTTGCGATTGCCAGGTCGCTTCTGAAAAAGAGCTACGTAGCTCAGTGGAGGTCTTACACCTGGTAACATAAAAATAATACAATCTCGAGGTAGGGGTTCAAAAAACCGGAAAGCCACTGACGCAGCCACCACCCACCCACTCACTCACCCACCCACCCACTCACCAATCACCCACCCATCACCCACCAACAGCGACCAACTACCACCACCCACCAACTTTCCACCCACCACCAACCAAACACCACCTACCCACCCACCCTCCACCCATGCATTTAGGGTATTTGGCTGATATAAAATTTCCACACGGTGATGATGATGATAAGTCGACTTGGTTGAGCTATCATTTGTGATGGCCACGTCGGTTCTGAAAAAGAGCTACAGAGTAGCTCAGTGGGGTCTCACCTGGTGAAAGTGAAAAAAAAAGTAAAATGTATGTTTTAGTGCCAGACGGGAGAACGCCAGCAGGCGAACAGTGAGAGGGCGACGTGGGTATGAGAGTATTAATATTAATAGTATAAGTAGTTGTAATAGTATTAGTAGCAATAGTGTTAGTAGTAATAGTATTAGTAGTTGTAATAGCATTAATAGTAAAGTACTACTAATAATACGAATACTACTACTAATACTATTACTGAATTAGTAGTATTAATAGTAGAAATAGTGTTAGTAGTAATAGTATTAGTAGCCGTAATAGTAGCAATAGTGTTAGTAGTAATAGTATCAGTAATAATAGCATTAGTATTAATAGTATTAGTAGTAGTAATAGTGTTAGTTGTATTAGTAATAGTAGTGTAGTGTCATTGATGATGGCACTATAGTATAGCGACAGTACCGTGTGAGTGGTACTGAATGTGTGGAGCCTCTCCCTGGCACCTGAGTGAGCATACCAGTGTAATGCAAGCGCAAGCGGGGTTCTCTGCTGGCCTTTGGGCCAATCATACGGCCTGGGGTATTGGGGGGCGGAGCCAGTATGGGGGCGTATGTGAAGGTCCCCGCTCACCTTGGGTCCAATCAGAAGCAAGGTGAGCGGGGGCGGAACCTAGGGGCGGACCAGCAGGGCACGATGGGGAGGCGAGATCTGGAAGGTTCGGAAGGGCGTGGTGTGAGGGAGGAGACAGGGTCACGTGGTGAAGGTGTAGTGACATGGGAGGGGAGGGGCTGCTGGGGGGCTCTGGGACCCTGGGTGGCCCAGGCGCTTGGGCCCCTTGGCGCCAGGCGCTGGGTTCCCGGGTGGCCCAGGCGCTTAAGCCCCTTGGTGCCACCAACGGGGGGGGGGGGGGGGCTGTGTGTGCTCTGTGGGATATCTGGGGGCGCACACGGCCCCACCCCTCGTTGGGGACTAGGCATAAAAGGGGAGCTCCCTGGACGATCAGAGCCAGTTGTAGCTCAAGACCCAAGACGCAAGACCAGCCATCTGAGGACCCTGGGACGCTGTGAGGGTCAGTGGTGGGACTCTGGAACTCCCGGCTCTACGTCCTTGTGAGGGCGAGTTCCAGAGCGTAGCCAGAGTAGTGTATCTAGGCTGTGTACTTAGGCTGTAACAGAGTATCAGGACTGTTGGAGTGCTGTTGGATTGTAATAAAGAAGTTACCTCTACAAGTGTCTCCGGAACCCGTTACAAAGGGGATATAGGTGGGAGCCTGGAAGGGCTCTGGGTCAGTTGTTGGAGTGAAGAAGCGGGACCACGTTGGGTGGCCAGAGGGAATCTGCGCCATCAGCCACGTGGCTGCAAGGGGCTTCAGCACACCGTCGGCCAGCGGTGTGCGGAGCGGGGGAGCGGGAAAGACTGACGGAAGAGCGCATGCGGGGCGTGTCGCGAGGAGCAGCTGGTCCGATGTCGGGACCAGCGGGGTGCGGGTGTCAACCCGAATAAAGAGTGACGGAGACCAAGCAGTGCGTGGTAAAGTCCTTTATTACACCAGTGAAGAGGCCGAGGGGGCACGTGACCAGATGAGGTGGTAACGAGGATCAGGGAGGGGGTGAGAGGAACATGTGATGTGGGTCCTGAACCGTCGCGAAGGATCTGGAAAAAGGGGCGTGGCCAAGCCGTAGGAATAAAAGCAGAGCCCCGGGGGGGACCGGGGTTGGTCATCTCTGGGAAGAAACCTCCGTCATCGTGGTCTCCGGTCTTCGGTCTTCAGCCTTTGCGCACGTGGACCAGGCTGTCCTCGTCCGATTTAGTAGTTGTCCCATCCAGTGTGTAAATAGCCACCCCCCCCCAATATATATAGTTTAATATAGGAACGGTGATTCACCACCCTATGTCGTTATCCAGTTAGCGTTAAGAGTTAATGTTATGTTAGTTAATAAAACATGTTGCCTCCAAGTTCAAGTGTGCGCCTCAATTGAACGAATTACAGTAGTAATAGCTCGAATTGAGCAGCGTGATCAGCGTGGATGGAGCTTCGGGTTTCTTCTGTTGCAGCTCCTCCGTCAGCGGAGGTGTGAGAGGAGTCATTTGCAGGACTGAATCTTTAAAAATGTATCTATCGATCTGGCTATTCACTATTTATCTATCTATCTGTCTATCCGCTATCTATTGATCTGTCTATCTCTTATCTGTCTGTCTATCTGCTATCTATCTGTCTATCCACGATCTATCTATCCACTATCTATTGATTGGTCTATCTGCTATATATCTGTCTATCTGCTATCTATATGTCTATTAGATATCTGTCTATCTGTCTACCCGATACACCCACTACCAACTCACTCGGTCGCAACTCTCCAGCCCGCCCATTGCCGAACGCTCTGGTCCGTGGGTGTCAATGAAAAAAAACGAAGAGTTTCACGGCTCACCGGATTCTTCCGTGCAACTGCGGTCTCAACCAATCAAAACGAAGGCCGTGACTCCCCGTGTCCCCCCCCCAGTGTATTCCCCCCACCGCCCCCCTGCCCCCCCCCACCTTCTACCCTCCCCCCAACCCCCTGCCTCCACCCGTTTACACCCGCCCCCCCCCCCCGCACGCCGCCCCCCCCACTACGCCCCCCCACCGGCCCGAGTGCCCCCCCCACACCCCCTACCCCCATCCCCCTGCCCGCCCCCCCCACCGTAGATCTCACGGAGGAGGGGTGGCGGAGTGATTAGCGCCCTGCGCCGGTAACCCGTCGGAGACCCCGAGTTCCACCCTGCCGCTCTCTGGCCGGCATCACCGGCAACATCTTGCCTGAGCCACTCCATGAGCCCTCCCCTAGGTCGGCTCAGCCTCAAATGAGAATCCCCGGTGTGGTGCGCGTGACCATCGTCACCGTTGGGGAGACAAAGGCGCCATGCCAGCCTTCGTAGGCCCTGCTCGCTAACCTCACTTTGCCCCGGCAGTCTGTTGCAGGCTACATGGGGGATCTTTGTCCGTTTGTTGTGTGTCTCACGGGGGAGCGGTTAGCGACCCTGCGTTGCGAACCCAGCGACCCCCTCCTCCCCCCCCCCCCCCGGGGTTTGACTCCTCCCCCCGCGCAAAGGTGGCCGGGCGCCGTGAGTGCAGGCCACACCAAAACACCCACCCACCCAGCCAGCCGTCGTGCATGCCGAGACTGAGACGCCTTACCGGAAGGCGTCGATCTCAGTGCGGTTCTCGAGCCAGGGACAATCGCGAACCTTCAGAATCTTCTCCACCACCGACTGCTCGTTGAACCTAAGGCAAGAGACAGAGCGGGGTCACCACCACCCCCGCCGCCCGTGTCCGCGGCGCTACCCCCGTCGCTCACCCAGTGAACGATCCGAGCGACGTTCCCTCCATCGCTCACCCGGTGAGTGATCCAAGTGGATCGCTTCCTAGTCGCTCACCTGGTGAGCGTGGCCAAGCACTTAACGTTCCACTGCACCGACGCCGAGGTCACGGAGGGCCCAGCACGCCAATGTTGGCCTAAAGCCTCCATAGATAACCACCACCAAAACTTTTCCCACCCCACCCCGTCCGGATGTTGAACCGATCTGTTCTCACGTCTGTGGCAGAGGGTCACTGGCGATGCTCGTCAAGGTTTGCCGGCACTGAGGGCTCAGTTTGACTTTCGCCTTCGGTCTGGAAAAAGAGGAAATGAAGGAGATGGGTTTAACACGTGGTAGGCTTTCGCGACGAAATATCATCCATGATACAGGTTTGTTGGGTTAGGTCGTATAAAAACAGTATGCTTCAAAAAAATGTTAACACTTCAGAGAATTTGCAATAATACCGCAATAAACGTGCCCCTGGGGCTGGCATAAATCACTGGACTCACTCCACCCGCCCGCCGACGACCGCTAAAAATGAAAGACAAAGATCCCCCATGTAGCCTCAATGGGCTGCCAAAGCAAGTGCTGTTAGCTTGCAGCCCCTATGAAGGCCGGCCAGCAACCACGCCCAGCCACCTTTTTAATCCCACTAGTGATGTTTAAACACCGCATTAGGTACTTATTTGAGGCCGAGTCCTACAAAGTCCCATCACAAGGGAGAAACACAAACAACTATATATTTTTTTGCCCGTATTGGAACGTCTCTATGCCGTATGGACCTGATAACTCAATTTCCCCTGTACAAGAATGCGAAGTAAACCACTTGGATTGACACGGTGTGGTGTATCGAGAAGTGCCCTGTGTAAGTGTTGTCACGTGAGTCACAAAACTTTGCCCAATTAAGTTTACGACTTCAGCACCCACCGGTCACGTGCTGTCGGGAGAGTAAAACCCGCTTGGACTTTTACTATTTCGCGGCAAGGTTTCAGTGACATTTCGCCAGGCGATTTCAGCAGCAACAACAACAACCAGCTTGGTTTAACACGTAGTAGGCTTTCGCAACCAATATTATCCATAATACAGGTTTTTTTGGTTAGATTGTGCATATGCGTTGTTAAACCCGCCACCGCCCAGCACATCCAGTTCGTCACATAAATAGAACATGCCAATTTCTCTGTAGTATGGCACACCGGCGTGTTGGAGAGCCAAGCCACAACATTTACAATCTGAGTGCGACATTTCGCCAATAATTACAACCACCTTCATCAGGTAACAGCTAGATTTGTGGAGAAATCTATTTCGGTTGTAAATTGAGTGGCAGTTTATTCAACGATCTCTGCTTCAGTCCAGCCCAAGAGGGACCCAGTGGCAGCGGTCGCCACGTGGCGCGCGAGGTGTGTACGTGTGATGCCACAGCAGCGAAGCCACTCTGCCGGCACCGCACCTGCGATGCCAACCCACAAAGCAGCCTGGCCGACGCTGCTCTCCCCCCACGGCCTCCCACATGAACACATACACACACCCCCATGTAGGACCTCGGGGGAAGTCACCTGGCCCCAGGTTTTCACCAGGAGCCCCTCTTGTGGGAATACCTCCGCGGTTTCCTGTAGCCAGGGAATTGACCGATTCCCCCAGGTCAAATTGCACTGCGGCGCCATGAATTACCATGAAATTACATGGTCACGGCGGGGCCACTCAGCCACCACGGTTAGAACATACTGTACAACGGGTTAGCAGACAGATAGGGGGCTGGGCCACGAACGGCTGGACGAGGGCAGGTACTCTGATTAGTTGGTAGCATAGCGACAAACCCTTTGATATGGAGAGAGGGAAACGGACGTCACTGAGAGCACCGGCACGGGTGTGTTGACATCACCGAGCAAGCGACCTGATTGGCCGAGGAGACCGCCAGATCAGCCAAAGATTTATTTGATGTAGAGCACAATAAAAGGCAAGAGAAAGGGGGGGAAGAGTCAGTTCGTGTCCTTCGTAAGTCAGCAATTGGCCGACTCTCTAGCCACTCCAACGTCCGTGTGACGAGTCGCAGTGCAGCGAGGACTGGCCCGCAGGAGCTCCGTACAAATCGAACCATGAGTATGAAGGAGAGATAGCGAACAGCGTGAGAATCCCTCGAGAGAGTAATTCGAAATAGGTGGGGCGGATTGGGTTTAAACCGTCAGGAGACAGAGTAGTTTCCTCACTGATTACAGCACTGAGTTACGTAGGGGTGAAGTTCAGACTGCGGGGAAATAGGTTGTTGTCCTACTAACTTCGGCTCCGGGCGGAGTTCAGACCGCGGGGAAATAGGTTGTTGTCCTACTAATTGCGGCTCTGGGCGGTGTTCAGACCGCGGGAAATAGGTTGTTGTCCTACTAATTTCAGCTCCGGGCAACGTGATATTTAGCATCAGATACACCGAGAATAAATCGTTAGTGATCAACAACAGTTTTGTGTGGTTTCTGCGAGTGTGGGGAGAGTGTATGGTGGCCGAATGCCCGTCCCACAGCCCTTTAAATCATCTTCATTACATACTCTCAGCAGCAACGTGCGTGCGAGTGTTGTCACTGCCCTTTGACCCCTGACCTCCGCTCCGTGCGTGCGATTAATACACGTTGTCGTGGAAGCATCCAACATCCTGTTTGAGTGGCCGCGCGTGCATGAGGGTGAGCAACAACGTGCTGGGATTCTCCTGCTAACGTTTGTAGGAGGGGACGCGGGGGGGCGAGGGATTAATTCCAGGTGGCCGAGCGCCAGCCGCGAGTTAAGCCTCACAGGGAGGATACGGAGGGGGCGGGGCTGCCGACCCGGCGCGAGGAGGGGAGTCGGGGAGCAGCAGCCCCCCCTAGGTCAGCAGACTTCGCAAACGGCAGCACCGGGCCTGCATGTGGGTTACAAGCTCGGGGCTTCCGCTTGGCAGGAGCTCACGGGGCAGACCCAGGTGCCACGTCTCGAGTGACTGGGATGACTGGCTGATGCACCACCTGTACCCCCTACTGAGCCAACTTGCTGTGCTTTAGCCACCCGGCACTCCGCTCGTTGTTGTGAGCATCACTCCTCCCCCCTCCGTTGTTGTTGGAGAGCGACTGCCTCCAACTGCCCAGTAGCGTCCTTCACGAGCCTCCTCGACAGAGGCTGATCTTAACACCGCTGGTACTAATCATCGGCAAGTCCACTCGGCTCCACATCCTCCTATACCACATCACTCCATCTCTTCTCTAGACTGTGCCACGCCCGTTTAGCCCCCTGGATCCAGCTGAACAAAATCTGTTTAGTCATACAGTGGCTGGGCATGCGGGCTACATGACCCAGCCAACGCAGTAGCTCATCGTTGTCTAGATCTTTCAAGAATAGGTGAGCTTATCACACAATCTAGCCTGGTTAAACCCAGGATGGATCATAGGCAGGCCAGCCTAAATGTTTCTAACGGGCAAAGATGTTCCATTAGGGGGGTCAACGTTTCGCAAGCGTAGAGAAGGGAGGGAATGACCGTAGCCGAGAAGACCTGAAGCTTCGTGCGGAGCGACAGACCAGGTAGCTTCCACACAGGGTGACGCAACCGATGAAGAGATAATGCCACTCGATTTATTCGGAGTGAGACTTCTGCTGTCAAATCGGAGCAGTCATAAGCACACTGTCCAAGTATGGGAAACTCTCTTCTCTCTCCAAAACTGCCCGATCACCAATTGGGAGTTGTGGGGGTGGAGCGTCTGATGGTACAAAATGCCCAGGCAGGTACTTAATTTTGGTGGGGCTGATGGTAAGGCCCCACCTCTTAGTTGCAAGCTCCAGGTTCAGGAGCAGCACCTCCAACTCCTCCTCTGAGTGAGCAGCAATTACCAGATCATCGGCATAAATAATATAGTTGAGCTATAGAGATCCATCCCTTGACCACACCCGGGCATCGATCATCCTCCCACTGTATCTGTACCAGATGGAAATTCCTCCGGTACAGGTATTGAAGTCTTGACGAACTACGTGGTCGAATAGATGTTAAATATCATGGGACCTCCTTTGCCAGTACCAAAATATAAGAACAGGTGTTTAGTTTTGATTTAAAGCTTTCGTGACTGCAGGGATTCATATTCTTGGTTCTTTCGGTAAAGTCATGTAGAAGGGAAATAATAAAATAAGAAAAATATTAAACAATAAAATTTTCACAACGTTTCAACTGCAACAAAAGCAATCATCATCAGGTGTGAAATTCACAGCAAGAAAATTGATGGTAAGGCCCCACCTCTTAGTGACACTCTCCAGGTTCAGCAGCAACACCTCCAACTCCTCTTCCGAGTGAACAGCAATCACCAGATCATCGACATACATAACATGGTTGACCAATAGATCGATCAGCCTCCCATTATATCTGTACCAAATGGATACAGCCATCCACCCACCACCCACCAACCAACCCAACTACCCACCCCCACCCACCCCTCATCCACCAACTCACCAACCACCAATTCACCCACCAAATACCAAACCACCCACCAACCCACAAACGCACCCACCACCCACCAACCCACCCACTTACCCACCCACCCACCAACTCAACTATCCACCCCCACCCACCCCCCATCCACAACCCACCCACCAACTCACCAACCACCTACCAACCACGAACCCACCCACCAGCCACCAATCCACCCACCACCCACCCCACCCACTACTCACCAACGAACCCACCCACTACCCACCCACCCCTCTACCCACCCCGCTATCCACCACCCACCACCAACCCACCCAACAACACCCCACTATCCATCCACCAACGAACCCACCCACCAACCCACTCACCCCTCCCATCCACTACCAACCCACCCACCCACCAACGAACCCACCCATCAACCCACCCACCCACCCTCTACCCACCATCCACCTACCACCCGCCCACCCCCGACCTGTCCACCCCCCACCCACCCACGTCTCGAGTTTCGTGATCTCCCCATTCGAGCCCAGCGCATCCTGCACCACCCTGCAGCTCTGACATCACAGACGGACTCAAGAGCACTGTGACCCACCACCCCCCCCCCCCCCCTGGGCGCTCCCTGTCCACCAAATCCACCCACCCACATCACCCCACAAACAAACCAAAACAAACGAAATCCCTACATGCATGCCCTGCAATTGCTCGCTCGATCGACAGGGGGCTAAACGGGCGCGGCACGAGCTAGAGAAGAGATGGAGTCACGTGGTACAGGAGGAAGTGGAGCTGAGTGGACTTGCCGATGACTGGTACAGGTGTCAAGATCGACCTCAGTGGAGGAGGCTCGTGAAGGACGCTACTGGGCAGTTGAAGGCAGTCGCCCACCAACAACAACAGAGGGCAGAGGAGCGACGCTCACAACAACGAGCAGAGCGCCGGGTGGCTAAAGCACAGCAAGTTGGCACAGTAGGGGGCACAGGTGGAGCATCAACCAGTCATCTCGGTCATCTCAGTCAGTCGACCTGTGGCACCTGGGTCTGCCCCGTGACCTCCTGCCAGCGGGCGTTCGACACTTCACGTGGCCTCAAGGTGCACATGGCCTGATACAAGCGTCGTGGTGACGTCACCGCCACTTAGTAGCGAATGGCGGTTGTTGTTTGCGTGTGTGTGTGGGGAGCGGTAGTGTAGAGGTGTAATTGTGTATGGGCACGGATGGCTAACAAACACAAGGGGCGTGGTTAGGGCCGTACACAGAGGAGGTGCTCACACCGACGTCCGCACCTGCATCCCCCACGGGCCCCTCCCGGGGGCCGAGTACTATAAAAGGTGGTGAGCCGGAGGGCTCGAGGTCGAGTATTAGCTTAAACCAGCGAAGACTGAAGACCAGCTAGAATAGGCCCCGGAGCTCCCCTGGCTCGCTGTCCTTGTCAGGGCCGACCAGGGCAAGCCGGTGGCGTGGCCCCGAGAGCCCAGACTGACGTTCTTATAAGAGCCGGTCTGGAGACTCAGGGTGCCGGGATCCCAGCTTGACCAGGGCTGGGATAGGTAGCCTCCCCTAGCTCCGTAGTGGAGGGATTCGTTGCTGGGGTTGTCGGTTGCGGAGTGGGGACGCCTCCAAATGGAGGACACCTCCCTCCTCGCTCTGCGCCGTCACACCGGGGGGGTTAGTCAGGGGGTGGGGAACGTTGACTTGTGGGGGTTGTTCCAGGGGCTTTTAATGCACTGGGACGGAAAATCCCGCCGCCAACGGCTCGTGGTGCCTGCAGCATTGAGGGGTAAGGTGGTATGGGCTGCGCATGAGCGGCTCCTGCACTTGGGGGTTCACAAGACCTTTGCCATGCTCCAGCTCGATTTCTTCTGGCCGGGCATGGCAAAGGACGTGGGGGATCTCCTGGGGTCGTGCACGCAATGCGCGCAGCGGAAGCCACCAGCGAGGGGGTCCAACCCTCCGCTGCAGTCCATAAAGGTTTCCCGGGTTAACGAGCTCGTTGCTCTGGATATTCTCGGGCCATTTCCCGCTACACCCAGGGGAAATAGGTATTTATTGACAGGGGTCGAATACTTCACGAGATGGCCCATGGCCTGGCCCCTGGCCAACCAGTCGGCAGCAGCCATCGCGGAGGCCTTTGTCCAGGGCTATGTCCTCGACAAGGGTGCTCCGGAACGGCTGCTGACTGACCAGGGTAAGAATTTTTCGGGGAAACTCCTCCGCGAGGTGTGCGACCTCTTGGGTACGGAGAAAATTCGGACCTCCCCGTATCACCCACAAACTGACGGGATGGTGGAACGGCTGCATCGACTATCACGTCCATGCTGTCCCAGCAGGTATCGGAATTCCAGACAGATTGGGACCTTCGCATTGCCAGTGTGTTACAAGCCTACAGGATGGCTCCCCATGCGGCCACCGGATTTTCACCTTTCTTTTTAATGTATGGCCGCGAGGCTAACCCCCCTGTGACGACCCAGCTGAAGCTCTCGGCGCCTCAGGCAAAGTCTACATTGTCCGAACACGTTAAATTTAACATCGGCAAATTATCTGAGGCGCGGGAAGCGGCCGTGCAAAATTCTGAACTCCGCCAGAAGGCGAACGAGAGGCTTAGGCTGGGGCGGGTTCATGTGTTCAAATGGAAACCGGGGGACAGGGCATGGTTGCACTGTCCCCAGGTGCCGCTGGCGACCTCGTCAAAGTTGGTACGGCCGTGGCGGCGGCCCGTGGAGGTCGTACAGGTCTTGCGGCCGCAATGTGTACGCGTCAAATGGGGGAGGCGTCGGTGGTACGTGCACCCCTCAAGGTTGAAACCGTTCATTGCGCCGCCCCGTGGTTCGCACACACACACGCATGGCCAAACGTGTGAGGGGTCCGCCGACTCCCTGACGTCGCTGCTTTCGCCTAACCTGACATCAACTGTTCCATCTCCAGGTGCAACAGGAGTGACGGGTCCACGACCGCCAACCCCTCCCGGGGGGGTCGGGGGTCACTCGGCAGCGAAGCCAGACTCTCTCGCACCCGGACCGTCAACAACCGCCACTGAGCGTGCCGGGACGGGCCCTTGTGACGGGCCCGCCGCGAGAACGCGCGCCAAAACGCGCAGACTTTTGTGAGGTCGGCCGTTGGGGGGCCCTTGCGGACGGTGGGGCGAGGCGTCCGGAGCGCGTGTATATATGTTGGTTTTGCGGAATGGGGTATTTATTCGGGGGGGTGCATTCGGGTTATTTTTTTTCTTCCTGTTTCTGTTGTTATGGTTGTCATTGTTCTTGTTAAAATTACGCGAGGCACACACGGTGTTGGGGAGGGATGCACCTTTATTCTGATTTTTTTGCAGCCGGGGACGGCTGCGAGCTGTACAGGGGAGGGTGATGTAGAGGTGTAATTGTGTATGGGCACGGATGGCTAACAAACACAAGGGGCGTGGTTAGGGCCGTACACAGAGGAGGTGCTCACACCGACGTCCGCACCTGCATCCCCCACGGGCCCCTCCCGGGGGCCGAGTACTATAAAAGGTGGTGAGCCGGAGGGCTCGATGTCGAGTATTAGCTTAAACCAGCGAAGACTGAAGACCAGCTAGAATAGGCCCCGGAGCTCCCCTGGCTCGCTGTCCTTGTCAGGGCCGACCAGGGCAAGCCGGTGGCGTGGCCCCGAGAGCCCAGACTGACGTTCTTATAAGAGCCGGTCTGGAGACTCAGGGTGCCGGGATCCCAGCTTGACCAGGGCTGGGATAGGTAGCCTCCCCTAGCTCCGTAGTGGAGGACTCGGGCGTAGGTTAGCGGGGTTAGATGTTGTGTCTCCCTGTTAGACGAGTGAAGGGGACGATACCCCTTTAAGTACTGTGTGTACCCGTTACTGTGCACAAGTGGGTGTTAATAAATAAGTGTGCCTCCGACCCCGTCGTCAAAGCCTCCTGAATACTTACTACAGTAGTGTAGTCGTTAGAGCGCTGCGCTACGAACCTGGCGACCCGAGTTCGATTCCCGCTCACGGCCAACCCCGATAACGATTATCTGAACCGGTACTGGGCCTTCCCTAGGTCGGCTCAGCCAGAAACGAGTACCTGGTGTGGTGTGTAAAAACATCGCCACCGGGGAGACAAAGGCGGCCGGGCGTGGTGCTGGACACCCACCCCCTCGTGTGCCGTGCCGGCGTTCGCAGGTGCTCACTAACAGCACTTGCCCCAAGAGTCCGTTGCAGGCTACACGGCGGATCTTTGTCTTTTGCCCTGTGGACTCACCCAGCGATCTGCTGCTCACCATCGACCGTCGTCGCCTCACCTCGCCTCCTCACCTCCTGCGAGGTGAGAAGCACACGGGGCACAAGGGTCAGCTGCTGATTGCGGCAGGCTTGGAATTACAGTCATTGTCGTCATCAACCAGCCAGGGTCAATCCACTGCTGGATGAAGACCTCATTGCCCCTCCGCCTCCATTATTAACTAGTCAGGGTCAATCATTTCCTTAAAAGTACATTATACTTTGTTGTCTTCACCCCGCACCTCCGAATGGGCACGCTACAGCGCAAACAAGTTAAACGAACACAAAAATCCCAGATTATACCGGAACATTTATTTATCATGCAGCTATAAAGGGTTTAGTTTTGGAGGAGGGGTGTCGGGTGGGTAGGGGGGTGGCATTGAGATATTAGCGGGAGCCGAATCAGGGTAATTGAACCGAACTTCACTTTTTGTAGATAAACAATCGCGAGCAAACTACAAAGAGAGCGCCGATGAGCGTCAAAGCCATCGTCGGAAGTTGACGACCGCGACGCTCTCGTCCACAGCCACCGCGGAGATGCACCCAGCCAAAGGGACCTGTGGAGGCCCCAACACACACACACGTGCTGGTGGCGGTGATCACCCCAAAACACACACACGTGGTGGTGGTGAACGGCACTTTGATGGAGGGTTTTGCGAGATCACCCTCGATGATTCTGTATACGACGCGGGTCGCCACTCCTCCCCCCACCACCACCCCCTCACCACCCCCAAACACACCACCCCCCCATCACCCCCCACCCCAACAACAACAACCGCCATTCGCCACTAAGTGGCGGTGACGTCACCACGTGAAGTGTCGAACGTGAAGTGTCGAACGCCCGCTGGCAGGAGGTCACGGGGCAGACCCAGGTGCCACGGGTCGACTGACTGAGATGACCGAGATGACTGGCTGATGCACCACCTGTGCCCCCTACTGTGCCAACTTGCTGTGCTTTAGCCACCCGGCGCTCCGCTCGTTGTTGTGAGCGTCACTCCTCCGCCCTCCGTTGTTGTTGGAGGACGACTGCCTCCAACTGCCCAATAGCGTCCTTCACGAGCCTCCTCCACAGAGGCCGATCTTGACACCGCTGGTACCAGTCATCGGCAAGTCCACACAGCTCCACGTCCTCCTGTACCACATCACTCCATCTCTTCTCTAGCCCGTGCCGCGCCCGTTTAGCCCCCTCGATCCGTCCGAACAAAAGCTGTTTAGGCATGCGGTGGCTGGGCATGCGGGCTACATGACCCAGCCAACGCAGCCTTGACTGCCGGAGGAGCTCACCGATGGGACTTTATCCAGATCTTTCAAGGATTTGTGAGCTCCTCACACAATCCAGCCTGGTTAAGCCCAGGATGGATCGTAGGCAGGCCAGCCAGCCTAAATGTTTCCAACCGGCAAAGATGCTCCATTAGAGGGGTCCACGTTTCGCACCCCTACACCACCCCCATCACCCCCCCCCCACCTCAACCACCCACACTACCACCCCCCCACCACTACCACCCAGACCACCCCCCACCACCTCACGCCCCACCGCCCCCCTACTCCCCCCCCACCCTTCCACCACCACCCCCCACCACTACCACCCACACAACCCCCACCACCCCCCCACCACCAGCCCCACACCCCCTCCCCCACCACCACGTCCCCACCACTACCACCCACACCACTCACACCACCCCCTACCTATCTCCCACCACCCCCCACCCTCACCCGACCATCCCCCACCCTCACCCCCCCATCCCCCATCCCCCATCATCACCCCCCACCACCACCCCCACCACCACTACCCCCGCCACGTTTTGCCCACCCGCTTTCGAGGCGCTCTTACGCGCGTGATCAGATTTGTCTAAGCGCATCGGTGTAGTTCGCGGTTACGCAACTTCTCCCGTGATCCCTGGGGAGGGGAGGGGTTATGCTGAGGCTCTGCTGCGCTGTTCGCTCGGCGTAACACAACCGTCCGCAAAACCAAAACAACCCCAGGGATGACATCTCGACTTTTTTTGTATAACTCTCACTTTGCCATGAACTGGAAACTCGGCGTGCATGGCTTGCAAGCTGTCGACCAAGCGCAGGCTGTTGTAAGCTCACTCAGTGCTCGAAAAAAAATAACAAAAAGACAAAGACCCCCGTATAGCCTTTAACAGACTGTTGGGGCAAGTGCTGTAAGAGAGCACCTTTGAAGGCCGGAACGGCACACGAGGGGGTGGGTGGCCGGCACCACGCACCGCTGCCTTTGTCTCTCCAAGTGGCGATGTTTACACACCGCACCAGGTACTCATTTGTGGCTGAGTCGACCGAGGGGAGGTCCAGGACCGGTTCAGATAATCGTCACCGGTGTTGGCCGTGAGCGCGAAGCGAGGTTCGTAGCGCAGCGTGATAACCGCTATACTACGGCTCCCGACTCACTCACACACTCACTCACATGCTCACTCACTCAATTACTGCCTCACACACTCTCTCACATGGTCACACGCTCACTCAAATGCTCACTCACTCGCTCACACACTCGCACACTCACACACTCACGTGCTCACTCACTCGCTCGGACACTAACACGCTAACTTACTCGCTCACACACTCACTCGCTCGCACACTCACTCAATCGCTCGCATACTCAAACGCTCACTCACACGCTCACTCACTCACATACTCACATGCTCACTCAGCCGTTCGCAAACTCATATGCTCACGCACGTGCTCACTCATTCACTCGCAAAACTTGTGGGAAGTGGCTGGGGGTGAGAGAGTGGACGTACCTGGTGGTGCTGTAAGATGTCACGCGGCATGCTGGACATCGCTCTGCAACGACAAAGCAAACCAGAGCGCCGTTAGTCCCGCCGAGCGGCATTAGTCCCCCCAAATGTTGCTAGGCGCCCTAAGCGGCGTGAGTCCCCCCGAGAATCGTTAGTCCCCCTGAGGGTTGTTAGTCCCCCAAGTGTCGTTAGTCACCACGAGCATCGTTAGACCCCCTGAGCGTCGTTAGTCCCCCCGAATGTCAATAGTAAAGCCGAGCGTCGTTAGTCCCCATGAGCGTCGTTATGCCTGCCGTGTGGCGTTAGTCCCCCCGAATCTCGTTCGTCCCGCCGAGCGTCGTTATTTCCCCAAGAGCGGCGTTCATCCCGCTGAGTGTCGTTAGTCCCGCTGAGCATCATTAGTGCCCCTGAGCAGAGTTAGTCCCCCCGAGCGTCGTTAGTCCCCCCGAGTGTCGTTAGCTCCCCAAGCATTGTTAATAACGCTGAACGTTGTTAGTCCCGTTGATCGTCATTAGCCCCCCAAGCGGCGTTAGTTTCACAAGCATCTTTAGTCCCCCCGAGCGGGGTTAGTCCATCCCAGAGCGTCGTTAGTCCCACCGAGCGTCATTAGTCCCGATGAGCGTCGATTGTCCCCCCGAGTGTCGTTAGTCACCCAAGAGTGGCGTTCATCCCGCCGAGCATCGTTAGTCCCGCTGAGCAGCGTTAGTCCCTCAAGCGTCGTTAGTCCACCTGAGTGTCGTTAATCTCCAAGCGTCGCTAGTCCCCCAAGTGGCATTAGTCCCCCCGAGCATCCCTAGTCTCTCGGAGCGCTGTTAGTCCCCCCAAGCGTCGTTAGTCCCGCTGAGCGTTGTTAGTCCTGCCGAGTATCGTTAGTTCTGCCGAGCGTCATTAATCTCCAAGCGTCGTTAGTCCCCCAAGCGACGTTGGTCCCCCCGAGCATCCTTAGTCCCCACGAGCACCATTAGTCTCCCCGAGCGTCGTTAGTCCCCCGGAACATCGCTAGTCCCCCCGAGTGGAATTAGTACCCCCGAATGTGGTTCATCCTGCCGAGCGTCGTTAGTCACGCCAACCGTCATTATTACCCCAAGTGTCGTTAGTCCCCCCTTGCAGTGTTAGTCCCCCAATGCAGCATTATTCCCCCCGAGCATCGTTAGCCCCCCTGATCATCGTTAGTCCCCCAAGTGTCAATAATCCCGCTGAACGTTGTTAGTCCCCCCAAGCATCATTATTTCCCCCTGAGCGTTGTTAGTTCCCTCAAGCGTCACTAGTAGCCCTGAGCGTCATTTGTTCGACCGAGCTTCATTAGTCCTCTCGAGCGTCGTTAGTCCCGCTTAACGTTTTTAGTCCTGCTGAGTATCGTTAGTTCTGCCGAGCGTCATTAATTTCCAAGCGTCGTTAGTTCCCCAAGTGGCGTTAGTCCCCCCGAGCGCCGTTAGTCCCCCGGAACATCGTTTGTTCCTCTGAGAATTGTTAGTCGACCCGAGTGGCACTCTTCCCCCCGAGTGTCGTTCGTCCCCCTGAGCAGCATTAGTCCCGCCGAATAGTCCCCCTGAGCGTGGTTAGTCCCGCCGGGGACTGGTGGCTACGGGAGGTAATGACAGGGGTATCAGTTGTGAGTGCGAAGGGACTGATGGCCGCGGGAGGTAATGACAGGGGTATCAGTTGCGAGTGCGAAGAGACTGGTGGCATCGGGAGGTAATGACAGGGGTGTCAGTTGTGAGTGCGAAGAGACTGGTGGCCGCGGGAAGTAATAACTGGGGTACCAGTTGCAAGTGCGAAGGGACTGGTGGCTACGAGAGGTAATGACAGGGGTATCAGTCGTGAGTGCGAAGGGACTGGTGGCCGCTGGAGGTAATGACAGGGGTAGCAGTTGTGAGTGCGAAGAGACTGGTGGCCATGGGAGGTAATGACAAGGGCATCAGTTGTGAGTGCGAAGATACTGGTGACTACGGGAATATTCGAGAAGGGAGCGTGGTCAGGTGCTGGAAGAGGAAGGTAGAGTCTGCCAGTGGAGCGAGCGTCCAGTCAGCAAGATGGATTGAGAAGGGGGGCATGGACTCGGTTGGTATATAAGGAAGATGTGAGGGAGACTCGGGGCCGTTGCAGTGGGGATCTCTGACTGATGTCAAGTGAACGTGTCTTCAATAAAGTGCCATCTCAAGAGAAGTGTGTCAAGTCATCACTACACGTGTGTAATGACAGTGTGACACCTGCTGGCCTGGAAGGGGTTAAGTAACAACTAATCAGAGAAGGAGGTGCATCTGGGGCAAAGGTAACAGGTAAGGTTAGCCGAGAAACTTCACACGGATCTACCCCATACTATATACTGCCATAGACAAACCCAACATTAAATTATATACTGCATTACTATACACCACCCTATACCTTAGACTATACATTGTAATATTACACTATGTATTATTCTACCCGCCCTACTGTATACCAAACTGCTGTATATTCACTATACAATTACGATACTATATATATTACCTTTTTACATTATATTAAACATTGCACTTTTATACTATTATTATACAATCTGCTATACACTACGACGGTCAATGGTATAGTGTATAGCAGATTGTATAATAATAAATAGTATAAAAGTGTAATGTTTAATATAATGTATAAGATAATATATAGTATCGTAATTGTATAGTGAATATACAGCAGTGTGATATACAGTAGGGTGGGTAGAATAATACATAGTGTAATAATACAATGTATAGTCTAAGGTGGTGTATAGTAATGCAGTATATAATTTAATGTTGGGTTTGTCTATGGCAGTATATAGTACGGGGTAGACCCGTGTGATGTAAGAGAAAAAAGTTTAGCTGGAGGCATATTATATTTTTTGCGACGTAGAATTGTAATGTATGACTTACTGTTAGTAGCTCAGCTTATTGGAGAGTATATTTAGTATATTGATGATATTGATGTAGTTTATATTTTAGTTTTTTTACGTGGTGGTTTGGCTGCTGCACTTCCTTACTATTAAAATTATTTCCTTTTATTACTGCTAACCCTTCCTCCTCCCTTTGTTGCTGCTAATCCTACATAATGCACGGGCATAAGATGACTTTGTGACCCTCCCCCCTCCTACGCATTCTACAAGTAGTGACTAATCCCATATCTGCATTTCCATAAATATGCTAAATTCCTCTGATGATACGCAAATTCCTTTGTCAAGGCGCCCTTCCTCCCCTAACCCAGCTTAAATATACGCTGCCAAGCTTGGTGGTGTTCATTCAGACGCTGTCTTTCTGACAGACCTGTTCTTCACCTGAGGACGGCTGCTTGCGTTGTGTCCGAAACGTCGTGAGAATTGTATTTTATTATGTTTTATTATTGTATTATTTCCCTTCTACGTGACTTAACCGTAAGAAACAAGAAGAAGTACCCTCTACATAACGTGTCACGGAAGTCACTCATTACACATGCATAGACTCACATGCTTACTCGCTCACTCACATAGTCACTCACCCACACAGTCACCCCATCCTCTGATCATCCCGGTTGGCTACGTCCGTAACCAACACAATAACAATCCTCGGCGTTTCTGGTGAGGCGATGTTGACTAATTCTTGCCAGGGCATTATCCGGCACACTCAGGAGGAGGGGTGGAGATACCCCCCCCCCCCCCCAAGTTAAAAGGTTGGGACCACCAGGGCATCCTTCCGGCTCTGTGGAGGCCGTCCCTGTGAACTGCGTGCCAAATGCAGCAGCCGTAGCAGCTGCATGCGTGGACTATCTGGACAATCACCCCCCCCCCCCCCATGTCGGTGTCATGAGGAAGAGGGTGGGGGGGACGATGCAAATCACAGGCGCGAGCGATGATAACATTTCCGCGTGGAAAAAAACAAGTAAGATTAGGTTTTCAATGGGCATGGTAAAAGATGGTAAAGCAACCCAATAGGAAGTGTAAAATTACCGGTTTGAGTCCAGGCCGTTCGCGGTTCCGAGTGGGGCCCTGGATGGATGATCATTGCCGCATTGAGAGTTATTTACAGGTACATTTTACCGACACCCCCAAAACAAAATTTTTAACCCCCCTCGTCCCCTGTATAGACTGTAACTGTTGGGGCAAGGTGCTGTTCGCGAGTAGCACCTATAAAGGCCGGCACGGCACAACGATGGGGTGGGTGGCCCAGCAGCCACGCCCGGCCGCCTTTGTCTCCCACAGTGGCGATCTTTAAGCGCCGCACCAGGTATACTCATTTGAGGCCGAGTCGACCTAAGGGAGGCCCATGACAAGTTCAGATCATCGTCGCCGGTGTTGGACGTGAGCGGGATTCGAACCCGGGTAGCCGGGGCTCGTAGCGCAGTGTAGCGCTAACTGCTGCACCACCGCTCGCCACGCACACCTCCACCAACCACTCCAGCGACACCCTCCACCTCCGCTTAGCAGCCTGCTGACGGCTACACTACCACTCCCCCACCATTGCACACAAAGACAAAGAATCCCCCGTGCAGCCTATAACAGACTGTTGGGGCAAGTGCCATGAGGGAGTAGCACCTATGAAGGCCGTCACTGTGGCACACGAGGGAGTGGGTGACCAGCGCCACGCCCGGCCGCCTTTGTCTCCCCAGTGGGGGGTCACCAGGTACTCTTTTGAGGCTGAGTCGACCTAGGGGGAGGCCCACAACCGGTTCAGATATTCGTCACCGGTGTTGGCCGTGAGCGGGAATCGAACTGGGATGGCCGGGATCATAGCACTAACAGACTGTTGAGGCAAGTGCTGTTCAGAATCAGAAAGGGTTTTATTCGCCATGAAAGTTTGCACAAACAAGGAATTTACTATGGCAGGAAGGTGCATACATTCAACATGTAGGAATCTTAACACTTAAATAAGTGCTATACAGTCTAACTATACTAAAATTACAAAGTCTAACTAATACTCAGGGGCTAAAGTATGTACAATTTTGAATAAGTATACAATATAAAATGTAAACTAGCCGTAATATACAATCCTAAAATACAAATAGGGTAACATGTTGTAAATATGGCAAGGTGTAATTTTGTAGATAAAATGTTGAAGTAAGTATAAAAATCATTTTAAGCCCTTGGCCTTGCTGAAGAGGCCTCCTGGCTCCGAGAAGCTCCAAGTCCAGCGGACGACGACAATGGAGACAACGGAAGAGCCACAAAAGTGTAAACCCTCACCCCACCACCCCTGGACCACCCCTGCCACCCCTAGGTCGACTCAACCTCAAATGAACACCGTACCTGGTGCGCTGTGCAAACATTACCGCTAGGGAGATACAAAGGCGGCCGGGCGTGATGCTGCCCACACACTCCCGTCGTGTCCCATGCCGGCCTTCCCCACCCCCTTCCCCAGAAGCTCGACTCAGCCTTAAATGAGCACCCGGTGCAGTGGTGGAAACGTTCTCAGCACTGGGGGGGGGGGGGGGGGGGGGGGGGGGGCTGGAGCTGTGCTGGTCACGCGTGCCAGCAGGTGCTCACTAGCGGAACTCGCCCGGACAGATAAATCCTGATTTGGGACATTGCAACTTCCTCGTCTCAGAAGGCAGTCACAGCTGGCCTTTGCCTGCGATGCGGTCACTCTGTAACGCCACAATGATCTTGCTGATTCATCCACTTAGCTGCCCCGCGTGGCTGGGACTGGCTGTGGGTGGCTGTGTCCGTGTTGTGGTTGGACTTCTTTCGCACCGCACGTAGACAGCCGTTGCTGATATGGAGGCGTGGCGGAAGGAATCAGATGTGACACGGCGAGAGGGGAACGGCGCCACCCCATGAACCTCTTGGACCGGCACCGCCCGGTATTCAGGAGCGAAGCCACGGCCCAACTTTCGTCGATGCACTGATTGATGGTCCACCACTGGCTCCATTCATTCAATAATTCACTCACTCCAGTCGCTTGCTCCATTCATTCACTCCAGTCACTTGCTGCAGTCATTCACTCCAGCCCATCGTTCGCTCGCTCACTCCATTAATTCACTCTATTGACTCGCTTGCTGAATTCATTCACTCCAGTCACTTGCTGCAGTCATTCACCACAGCCACTCGTTAATTCACTCCATCCATTCACTCGCTCCGAATCATTCACTCCAGTGACTCGCTCGCTCCATTTATTCACTCCAGTGACTTGCTGCAATAATTCACTCCAGCTACTCATTCGCTCCTTCCAATCATTCACTCCATTCACTCGTTGGCTCTATTCATTCACTCCATTCACTCATTCGCTCTATTCATTCACTCCAGTCACTTGCTGCAGTCATTCACTACAGACACTCGTTCACTCGCTCCATTCATTCACTCCATTTATTCATTACAGTCACTTGCTTCAATAAATCACTCCAGCTACTCGTTTGCTCGCTCCATTTATTAATTTAATTGACTCGTTCGCTATATTCATTCACTCCATTCACTCGTTCGCTTCATTCATTCACTCCTGAGACTCGCTCACTCCATTCGTTCACTGCAGTGACTCGCTCACTCCATTAATTCACTCCAGTCACTTGCTGCAGTCATTCATTCCAACCACTCGTTCGCTCGCTCCATTCATTCACTTCATTCACTCACTCCATTCATTCATTCCAGTGACTCGCTCGCTCCATACATTCACTCCAGTGAATCGCTCGTTCTATGCATTCACTCCAGTCGCTCACTAACTTAATTCACTCCAATCGCTCGTTCCATTCATTCACTCCGTATTTCTCTCCTATCGCAACGATAACACCGAACCACCTCTCGGCACCCCCCTATCCCTCCCCACCCCCCTCAACGGAAGTTAGAGGTGTCACAGGACATTACGCGAGCGTGAGAAAAGATCAGAAGAAATGGTTATGGCAAGACGAGGTGTAATAACTCGAGTCACGGCCACTGAGTTACAGCGCTCTCTTTGAAGTCCGTTTAACGCGTAGAACGAGTAGGAGTAATTGGAATCGTAGGATTAAGAATTGTAGTAGTATGAATTGTAGTAGTAGGAATTGTAGTGGTAGGAATCGTAGTAGTAGGAATCGTAATAGGATTGTACGTGGGAATTGTAGTAGTTGTCACCCCCGGTCAACCTGTCAGCTGAACTCCGGTCACCCTGTCAGTCACCCCCAATCAGCCACCTCCTGTCACCTCGTCAGCCACCCCTAGTCACCCCGTTAACCTCCTCTGGTCAATCCGTCAGCCACCTCCGACCACCCCGTCACCACGACACCGTTACACAATCAACGATCCCACCCAGAGCGTGGCTCTGCACAACGATGTCGCCATTTTGGACCCTGTTGCTAACGGCACTTGCCCCAACAGTCGTCTAAAGCTGCTTGGGGGATCTTTTTCTTTGTGTCCGTGTGTGTGCAGAGGGAGTGGTGGGGTAACGGTTGGCGCGACTGCGTTATGAGCCCCGCCCACCCGAGTTTGATTCCCTGCTCACGGGGGTGACGATTATTTGGATCTGTTCTGGGCCTCACCTAGGTCGACTCTGCCTTAATTGCGTGCCCGGTGTGGTGTGTGTTAACGTGCCAGGTGCTAACTAGCAGAACTCGCCCGGACAGATAAATCCTGATTTGGGACATTGCAACTTCCTCGTCTCAGAAGGCAGTCACAGCTGGCCTTTGCCTGCGATGCGGTCACTCTGTAACGCCACAATGATCTTGCGGATTCCTCCACTTAGCTGTCCCGCGTGGCTGGGGCTGGCTGGGGCCGGTTGTGGCTGGCTGTGTCCATGTTGTGGTTGGATTTCTTTCGCACCGCACGTGGACAGCCGTTGCTGATATGGAGGCGCGAGGGAAGGAATCGGATGTGACACGGCAGGAGGGGAACAGCGCCACTCATGAACATCTTGGACCGGCACCGCCCGGTATTCAGGAGCGAAGCCACGGCCCAACTATTGTCGATTCACTGATTGATGGTCCACCACTGGCTCCATTCATTTATTCATTCACTCACTCCAGTCACTTGCTGCAGTCATTCACTCCAGCCACTCGTTCACTCGCTCCATTCATTCATTCACTCCAGCCACTCGTTCGCTCGCTTCATTCAATCACTTCATTCGCTCGCTCCATTCATTCACTTCATTCACTCGCTCCATTCATTCATTCACTCCAGTCACTCGCTCGCAGGGCCGTAAGTACAACGCAGAACGACGCCACAGAACCCTATTATTATATTTATTATTATATTTTGGTACTGGCAAAGGAGGTATAATGATGTAGTTGCTTACCCCGAACCCTCGTTACTTTGATAGTACATTGTCTTTGAGCTGTGCGTCTTTTGGCGTCCTCTAGTCTAGGTGCTAGACGAGGCTCAAAAGAAATCCGGTGTGGACCAATCCGTTTCAAGGGCAATGCATATATTATTAGAGTGTGTTTTTTGTTTGCATTTTGACCACAAGTATTGTGGTTAATGCAGACATGATACCTTGTAAAAAGGTTTGAGTTTTGTTGCCAGAAAAAAGGGGGTAACCCTATTATTATATATAACCTTGTTGTAACTGCTCTCTCGTTGGTTTAGCAGTTCCACTGCTGGATTATATTTTTTCCGCGTGAGGACGACCGCTTGTGTTGCGATCGAAACGTCATGATATGTTTTATTTTATACATACGTGACTTTACCGAAACAACCAAAGAGTATAAGCTCATAACTCGTTTGCATCACACGCCGAGTCATACTCTCAACAACAAAGACGCATAGATACCCATAGAGATGGATATAGACGCATAGAGATACATAGGAGATACATGGAGACTGGGTTAAACGTGGGCTAGTTATTGCCCAATCCAGCCGACTCAAGAACGTAATTAACTAACAAAGACAAAGAACCCCCGTATAGCTTTAACAGACTGTAGGAGCAAGTGCTGTTAGCGATTCACACTTAAGTCTTGACTTAAAGCTTTCGTGACTGCAGGAATTCATATTCTTTGGTCTTTCGGTAAAGTCACGTAGATAGGTTCAAAGAAAATAACAAAAAAATAACAAAAACTACGACGTTTCGATCGCAACACAAGAGTTCGTCATCAGGAAAAACAAGAGGGGGACAGCTGCTGAGGCAGTCTTTTGTAATTTTCTTTGAACCTATCTACGTGACTTTACTGAAAGACCCAAGAATACGATTCACACTTATAAATATATAAAGATACTGTACATGGAGACTCATATAAATGCATAGAGCATCGTAGAAACTCATATAGAAACAGAGACGCATCGAGATACATAGAGATATATAAAGACCAATACAGATACATAGAGACTCATATAGATACATAGCGATGTATAGAGACTCATACAGACACATAAAGATACATTGAGACTGGGCTAAAAGTGGGCTCGGTATTGCCCAATCTTGGCCAGCTTGCTGAAAAAAAAGTATTAACTAACAAAGACACAGATCCCCCGCATAGCCTTCACAGATTGTTGGGGAAAATTATGTTCGCGAGCACCTAACAAGGCCGGCACTTTGGCACACGAGGGGGTGAGTGACCGCTCCACGCCCGGCCGCTTTTGTATCCCAAGTGGCGAAGTTTACACATCGCACCAGGTACTCATTTGAGCCGACCTAGACCCAGGACCGGTTCATGAAATGGGTGCAAGGTGTTGGCCTTGAGAAGGAATCGAACTCATGTCGCTAACCGCTACACTTCCGCTCCTGCTAATCTAAGACGATCAAACACACACGCCAGTTTCTCATGAGATGTGAGTGTGTAAGTGGGTGAGTTGAGTGGCTGAATGAGTCAGCGACTGCGTGAGTGAGTGAGTCGGTGAGTGAGTGAGTCGGTGAGTGAGTGAGTCGGTGAGTGAGTGAGTCGGTGAGTGAGTGAGTGAGTCGGTGAGTGGGTGATCGAGTAGGTGATTGAGCTTGTGGGTGGGTGGATGAGTGAGTAAGTATTTATGGGTGAGTAAGCGAGGGAGCGAAGTTGTACGCCTGTGTGTTGAACTTATTTCGCATCTCACGCAGCCAACAGTGCTAATCGCGAAGGACAAAATATTTCCGGATAAGCGGGTAACAGAACAAGCATAGTTCTCGATAAGAGGGTAACACGTGATAGGAGGGTTCTGGATAAGAGGGTAACACGGGGCAGGAGAGTTCTCGATAAGAGGGTAACAAATAACAGGAGCATTCTGCGTGACCGAGGGCAGTACTGGCGAATTTGTGATGGGCGAAATGTCGCGGAGTTCGCTCGCTCGCTTCACCCGCATTGGAGAGTCGGAAACTTGTAGTAGACGTAGCAGATCCCCAGGGACAGGAACACGGCGAAGATGAAGAGTACGGGAGATCGAGTCGTCAGCATGGCGTCGCGTGGACGAAGTCCCCGGGGAATCCTCCTCCTCTCTCTCTTATCACCTCGGGAGCGTCGTAACCCTGCGTGGGTGAGCGGCGGGAGGGGGGAGTTGGGGAGTTGGGTGTCGGTGTGAGGTCGGAGAGAGGAGTGAAGTTGTGGAGGAAGTGTGTGGTGGTGGGGAGGGGGGTGGGATTGATTTTGGTGGGAGAGGTGGGTCAGAGGCGTAGCTAGGGGGGGGGGCAGGGGGGTACATATGTCCCCGGGCGCCAAGGTAAAGGGGCGCCAAAATGAGGCTTACAGCGTTACATTATAACTTATTGCGGCGGGCGCGGCAGCCTGAAACTACTGCACAAATCTACACCTCAACCTAAAAGTTTATATATCCCGCCACACACAGCCTACATGTCATGTAATTTTATTTTGGTACTCGCGCCTATTAAGAACTTACATGGAAGAACGTCCCAAACAACAACAATCACAGAGCATTGTTTGTCAACTGTGACAACCACAGCTTAAACTTAGCAGGAGTACACTCAGCTAAACAGGATCCACTTGTCGTCACATTTTTTGGAACAGTTGAAAGTATATATTTGTTTTTCTCTCGTTCAACAATTCGTTGGGAAGAGTTAAAAAAAAGCTGTGCCCATCACAGTAAAGCGGGAGTCTGAAACACGCTGGAGTGCACGATCAGAAGTTGTTAAAGCTATCTATGAAGGACTGGATGAACTAGTAGGGCTGCTAGACAAATTATCGGAGAACGTAACTATGACGCCTGAAACCAGAAGTGATGCAGAACAGTTACATGCATGCGTATTAAATTTTAATTTCATAGTTTTATTACATTTCTGGAATGTCATTCTTGGAAAAATTGATCGTGTTCAGAAGCGCTTATAGGATCCTACTATGAATTTCAAGGAAGCAGCAACTGATCTTGAATCTTTGGAGCATGAATTTGTCAAGCTTCGTGATGATTTGAGCCAAGTTGCTGTAGAAAACGCCAAAACAAGATGCACAGCCTGGGGGATCGATGTGGACAGAAGAATTAGACGACGTCGGAAGATGCCAGGAGAACTGGCAAGAGATGCAGGACTTTCAGCAGAAGAAGAAATTGTGCGCATTATGAAGAGCGTATTTTATCGACTTCAACAGGAGATGTCAACACGGTTTTTACGACTAAAAGACCTGAACACAAAATTTGGATTTCTGCTGGACGTCAAAACTCGTCTATCCGACACGGATGTCGATGCAATTCGTCGAAATTGCACAGATTTTGGAAATTTCTATGACACCGACATCAATGGCCACGAACTTTTCACAGAAATTGGAGATTGCAAAATTCTGCTCAGTAACCGGAATGAAGTTCTACTAGAAACTCCTTTGGATCTTCTTTGTTTTATTGTGTTTTATGGAGACGACATATTTCCGAATTTGCGAATTTCACTGCAAATTGTATTAACAATAGCAGTTTCAATTGCAAGCTGTGAGCGGTCCTTCAGCAAATTGAAACTTATTTTTAAATCCTTTATATTAAGTTCGCGTGCTTGCTTGCGTGCTTGCTTGCTTGCGTGCTTGCTTGCTTGCTTAGGACCGTGCAAATCTTTCGGTCGTTTTTTAACCCACTTCCCGTGATCCAATCGAGCTGACATTTTCCACACAGACTCGTTGTGCCAGACAATTATTGTTCGTGAAAAAAAAATTCCCAAAATTTTACACTTTTTAGGCAAAAAAAATTATTTTACATATATTCAAATATTACTCATTCATCGCTTTGGCTGAACGTCACAGTATAAGAGCCCAGAGCGTAACCCCTCCACAGGCCGTGGCGGAGTAGTGCAGTTGGTAGCGCCCTCGCTTCCCATGCCAAAGGTCGCGGGATCGATCCCCGTGTCCTCCACAGGCGAATATATTTTTAAATCCTTTATATTAAGTTCGCTGCCACGCATATAAAGGATTTATAGTGAAAAACTTTGTTTTTACGGGTTTACTTGTTAAATCCTTTATATTAAGTTCGCGTGCTTGCTTGCTTGCGTGCTTGCTTGCTTGCTTAGGACCGTGCAAATCTTTCGGTCGTTTTTTAACCCACTTCCCGTGATCCAATCGAGCTGACATTTTCCACACAGACTCGTTGTGCCAGACAATTATTGTTCGTGAAAAAAAAATTCCCAAAATTTTACACTTTTTAGGCAAAAAAAATTGATTTTACATATATTCAAATAGAACGCATTCATGGCTTTGGCTGAACGTCAGAGTGTAAGAGCCCAGAGCGTAACCCCTCCACAGGCCGTGGCGGAGTAGCGCAGTTGGTAGCGCCCTCGCTTCCCATGCCAAAGGTCGCGGGATCGATCCCCGCGTCCTCCACAGGCGAATATATTTTTTAATCCTTTATATTAAGTTCGCTGCCACGCATATAAAGGATTTATAGTGAAAAACTTTGTTTTTACGGGTTTACTTGTTAAATCCTTTATATTAAGTTCGCGTGCTTGCTTGCTTGCATGCTTGCTTGCTTGCTTAGGACCGTGCAAATCTTTCGGTCGTTTTTTAACCTACTTCCCGTGATCCAATCGAGCTGACATTTTCCACACAGACTCATTGTGCCAGACAATTATTGTTCGTGAAAAAAAAATTCCCAAAATTTTACACTTTTAGGCAAATTTTATTTATTTTACATATATTCAAATAGAACGCATTCATGGCTTTGGCTGAACGTCAGAGTGTAAGAGCCCAGAGCGTAACTCCTCCACAGGCCGTGGTGGAGTAGCGCAGTTGGTAGCGCTCTCGCTTCCAGTGCCAAAGGACTCAGGATCGATCCCCGCGTCCTCCACAGGCGAATATATGTTTTAATCCTTTATATTAAGTTCGCTGCCACGCATATAAAGGATTTATAGTGAAAGCTTTGTTTTTACGGGTTTACTTGTTAAATCCTTTATATTAAGTTCGCGTGCTTGCTTGCTTGCATGCTTGCTTGCTTGCTTAGGACCGTGCAAATCTTTCGGTCGTTTTTTAACCCACTTCCCGTGATCCAATCGAGCTGACATTTTCCACACAGACTCATTGTGCCAGACAATTATTGTTCGTGAAAAAAAAATTCCCAAAATTTTACACTTTTTAGGCAAAATTGTTTTATTTTACATATATTCAAATAGAACGCATTCATGGCTTTGGCTGAACGTCAGAGTGTAAGAGCCCAGAGCGTAACCCCTCCACAGGCCGTGGTGGAGTAGCGCAGTTGGTAGCGCTCTCGCTTCCAATGCCAAAGGTCTCGGGATCGATCCCCGCGTCCTCCACAGGCGAATATATTTTTAAATCCTTTATATTAAGTTCGCTGCCACGCATATAAAGGATTTATAGTGAAAGCTTTGTTTTTACGGGTTATACTTATGTCGTATTTGCGTGCTTCAATGGGACAAGATCGTCTCATAGGAAAATGTGATTAAACGGGGGGGGGGGGGGCGCCAATTTTATAGTTCGTCCCCGGGCGCAAAATATCCTAGCTACGCCTCTGAGTATCTGCAATGGGGTAATAATGATAGTAATAATAGTTACATTTATAACGTGCGCAAATTTGCGGACGTAATGGCCGCAACTCAGAGGCGCGGAGCCAAGCTCAGAGTCGCTCGAAAACGTGGTTATAGAGGTGAATGTTTAAGTATCTCTTGAAGGAGGCGATTGAGGTGATGCTGCGAATGTGCAGAGGGATATCGTTTCAGACTGTTGGGGCTGCCACAGAGAAGCGGCGCATAGACATGACCATCCTGGATCTTGGTATCAAGAGAAAGTCGTGAGTCGCGCTGCGCAGGCATCTGCCGTGTGCTGAGCTGCAAGTTGTCAATAATTAAGAAAGGTACGGTGACAGGCAGATATGAAGGCATTGTGGCAGAGGCAGGCGATCTTGTATGTGACCCTACTAGCGATGGGTAGCCAGTTGAGAGCACAGAGACAGGCTAGTGAGTCGAGACGGGAATGAGTGTGGGCAATGACGACGCGTGCGAGGTTGTTTTGTAGTCTTTGAAGTTTATTTAGGTTGCCAGCGAAGGTCCGAACTAGGACGAAGTTGCAATAGTCAAGGCGAGACCCAACTATGCAACATGCCAATGTGTTGGCAATTTCAGTGGAGATGAGAAGACGTAGGTGTCTGAGAGCCTTCAGGTGAAAGTTACATAAACTGATGATATGGTTGGTTTGACGGTCGAAGGATAAAGTTGAATCTAGGATGACACCGAGGTAGCTGAAGTGGTCGGTGAACCTGATGCTGTGACCGAAGATATGTATGTGTGTTGGGAGTGCTGATTAATTGAGACGTTGTTTGGTACCTAACATGATGGCCACTAACTTTTTCGGATTAAGGGCTAGGTTGTGGGCAGTTAACCATTGTTGCAAGGTGGTGGTACATTCCGAGAGCCTCTAGAATCCAGATGCATTGCTAGAATCGATGGCGGTGAATAGAATCGTGTCATCCGCGTATGAGTGATGCTTAACACCGAAGCTTGCCGTGAGCCGGCCGATCGGGGAAGTGTAGGCTGTGAAGAGCAGGGGACCTAGAACAGAGCCCTGGGGAACCCCGCATAATGCTGTTGTTTCAGGCGATGTGGACATTCCCACCCTGACTGAAGATTGCCGGTCAGAAAGGTACGAAACTATCCACTTGAGTGCTGAGCCGCATATACCGAAGTCGGATTTCAGGAGGGAAGTAAGGAGCGAGTGGTTGATAGTGTCGAAGGCTGACGAATTGTCCAGACTTACAAGTGCAACAGTTAAGCTGGAATCAATGATCGTTAAAATGTCATCGAGCACTCTAGTGAGTGCTGTTTCTGTGGAGTAGTTTTGACGGTAAGCTGACTGGAAGCAACAGTAGTTTGCGTAGGAGGTGGTGTGGTTTTAGCTGGGCGAGGGCTAGTCGTTCAAGGAGTTTATAGAGGTTCGAGAGATTAGTGTTGGGACGATAACTAGATGGGTCATCCGGGTCGAGACTTGGTTTCTTTAACAAGGGAAAAACCAGGCCAGGTTTGAGGTTAGACGGAAAACACCCCATAGAGAATGAGGCATTTGCGATGTTCCTGATCATGATGGCGAGTTCCAGAGCACATTGCTTGAACAAGGAACCTGGGAGCACGTCGAGTGGAGATGACTTCAATTGAAGTGATT